CTTAGCGAAACACATGCATAAGCATGTTCTCGAAAAAAGACTTGATCATAGGCCAGTCGGATCGGGTTTATAAAGAGCCATGAAAACCTATTGCTTTTCTCCTTGCCTAGCTATATCTGTCCCAAACTGTGCACTGGGCTGCAAATTCTAGCCCGTGGGATGGCCTGGCCATTGTCCCAGCCAATAGCTCAAATGATGCATTAGTGCAGCGGAGATGCGGCGACGTTGGTACGATGGTGATGCTTTGACGGCGGCCGATGCTCGGTATAGGTGTGGCAGTGCAGGGAGGTAGGTGGGTGTTGGCGGCATGGAGTGTCATCGGGCCAGGGCTGCATGTCGGTTTGGTCGATCTTCCACGGTGAGATCTGATTATATGGCCTTTATTGGAATTTTGAGACCGGGGGAGGTGGTGTGGTGGCGCCTAGGCAGCTACGTCAACATGTTGGTTCATAGATCTCAAATCAAAAAGAATTGTCTCACAAATCCATTATCATGGCCCGTCCACACATACAACAATCAAATATATCCGGTCTCACAAATTCATCATCTATACTTAGATCCATCCAATCGCCCCTAGCTCATATCGAGGTCACAACAGGAGGAGGGGCTACATGGCTAGGCCTCAGGAGGCTACAGAGCTAGATCTGCATGATGCATCAGTGCCACCCAGGGTCGGAGATGACAAACAATTATGGTAAGGGAAGGTGATAAGCTCAGCATCAGGGTGTGACAGGCCGTTCTTGTACCGGCCCATGTTTGTTGGCTCCACGCAAGGGAGGAGGAGGAGGCAATGGTGGGAGGGCGATCACACCGAGGAGTGAGATGGTGGGGAGAGAGGGTTGACGGCAGGCGGCAAGAGGGCGAGTAAGCAAGCAAAGAAAGGCGGCGGTAGCCGGTAGCGCGTGTGGGCAGGGTGTGTGGTTGGCGTTTAAAATGAACTAGGACGAAAGGCGCGCTCCGCTGCGCCCGTAAAAAAAAAGTGCCCGTAACCACATGTTGTCTCATCATGGTGTACCATAATGACCTATTGAGGTTTTCTAAAAATGAACCTAATACCAATAACATAATAGTCCTGGTAATAGATAGAACTATAGATTAGTGGTGGGCAAGCAAACAATTAAGGGTGGAAATCTTATATTGACTGAAATGATGTCCCAGGGACTACGAATTCCATGGTCAAGGCAATATGCCAAGGAATTCGTAGCCCGTAACTAAAACATAGTACAATCGTTTGGAGTACACATATATGGCATATATGCATGCACTCTATCACATATACAGACACCAAATGGTCTTCCAATATGTGACGAAAGGCAATATGACATATGGATCGTCGCTGATTATAATGGCCACCATTGTTGGGCTGCAGACTCACAAGGGCACTGCTGAGTTGGGCATGATGAAGAACCTGAGAAAAATGTTGCCACAAGGGTTACATATTAGATTAGATCAGGAAATCCTCTATGGTCCTACACATGTGTACCAATTCTGAGTAGCAGTCTTACAGGGGTCAGTGGCAAATTCAGTAGCAGGACAGGAAGGTCATGTTAGGGGCATCAATTTAAAAGGCATGAACACGCATCCAATGAAAAAATTCACTTGAAAGAAATACATATAAATATATAATAACTCATATGAAAAAATGGAACTCATATTTATCCCTGTGCAAGCTAAACACGTGCAAAGATTCTGCTTCCCTGATATGCTGCGAGGCTATTGATACAGCACCGTGTTCCAAGTTTATTAATGCATTGATATGCTGCTTATATTTACAATCTTCAAAAAGAACAATGTATATGCTATACAAATTCATACATAAGAAAGGAAAGTTCTTATGTGCAACTAAGGTTACCTATGTAGCTATCCACTGGCATCTCTGTCTCGATCGAACCTGCAGAAACATATAAAATCCATAGAGCGTGAAAACGAAACAGTTTATCACCTTCAAAGCGCACAGGCTGGCTAGTGGATCGCTGTCACAATGGCAATGGACAGGGAACTGGTGGCACATATCTAAATCTATAGAGCAAAGTAAAAATGAGGTAAAATGCAGAGGGAAATAGCGCAAAGGCATGTTTAGAACGCCTCAAATGGTATGAACCTGATAGATGATGCCTATTCTTGAGCTGAAGCTCCAACTGTCTTTCATAGAGTTGTGATCTGGGTTGGCAAGAACGCACGAGGTCCACCGTCACAAGCAATTACTGCACTGTTCGGTATTTTCAAGTAAAATTTTCAGATATTCTATCGAAGGAAACCAACTGTGTGGTACATGGATCCGCTTCGTTTGCCGGGACTGTATGTTCCGCTGCAACGATGGAAAGGCGATACATACCTGTTCAGTAAGAGGAACAGCGAAATGAAAGAAGCGACAGGAATTACTATCTGTGTGTATGGAAAATTTATGTGATGAAAAAGGTGACATGGATCCTCCACCTGTGCCTACTACCAGAGCATTTTTGTCCACCACACTTGAAAAATTGAGATATAACATGCAACCTGACTAATAAAAAGGAAACCGACTGGTTCACAAGATGCCATGTCCATATATATAGCATTCAACATTCAAGTTGGGAGCCCTTTGCTGCCAAAGAGCAATCAGAACAGTGTGTCCGCAGTATTATAATCAAGGGAACAACAATAAAAGAAGTTCTATAGAAAATAATCTACTAATTGCAGCAGAAAATATACCATATGATTTTTTTGAACAATATACCTTTGATCAACAAGATGCACATTGCAAAGTGGGTTTGGTCCTGCCTTGATCTTTTTGAGTCTTACATGAGTACAACTCGTCACAACACCAATTGTATCTGTATCTGCAGATACAACTTATATATGAAGCAACCAAAAGACAAATAGTTGTCAGGTAGAGCTTCAACACCGACATAGTTGGATATACACATAGAAAATTACAACTAAAGTAAACTAAAATTTGTAGAAGTATGTAGCAGAGTAAAGCAATAAGCATACTTATGTAAATGACGCACCATGGTTTTGATCCTATATACCTTTGTATGGGCAATAAAGTTTATATCAGATAAGGGTGCTCAATAGTTGAGTTCTATGTGTGAGCATTGACAGGCTGAAAAAATTCGAAGCGTGGTATAGAGTCCCTTCTTTTAGCTGGGGCATGGACACTGTTATGTATGCTTCCATTGTTGTATTATGTGAGAGCAGTAGTGCCTAGAAATCAGACGACCTCAATAGATATAACATAATGAACACTTGGGCATTTCTCAGAAGTATCCTGAGTCCTGACAGCTAAATAGTTATCGATTGCATTGACAACAAAAAGAAATTTCTTTGGTCATGCATGCATAGCGTAACATGGTTTCCAAACAAAAGAAGCAAAGAGCAGGACCTTAACAGTGTGCCTTTGAGAATAAGGTGACTTACTTGAAACTGCTGTTGAGGTTCACTAAGTCTGTCTGCAACAGCCTTGAGCTGCAATGGGAGAAAAAAAAACTTGTTTTGGGATGATTGATGTCTTCGCATTAGGAATTCTGTGTGTGGCCATGCAGACCAGCAAAGTCCTGTCAAAACACATTGGTGAGTAACTCGGCATCCCTTCAGCACCAATATTGAAACTGAAAGCAGGGTGCAGAGAATTAGATAGTACTAAACGAACCAGGGTAGGTGTTGGTTGAGGCAACGAAGCAAACACATGGTGCGCGCTACGGTCGCGTTCTGTGAGCAGCACCTGCAGGGAGGGCACTGCTCATGGACAGCGTCGAGCAGGCAAGATACACGATCTGAAACACAAAGAGCAAGAAATATATACACCAATCCAAGAACAGATATATACATCCCAAGGCCGTGGACGAATGAAGGCACAGTTAGGCAGAGCCGCAGAGGGATGGGGATGCACAACCTGTGTATCGTCCTGGTTGGCAGATAGTGCCGGAAACGAACGTGCAAGCCGCCGACGCCAGGGGATGCGGCGTGAGAGATGACGACACAGTGACGGGCCCGCCGTGGCCCGCGGCGGTGCAACAGGCAAGCGGAGGAGTCGAGGAGCGTGCGCGACCCGTCCTCTGGCCGCCGCTCCCACCCCCGCCTGACGTTGCGCACACCGGAGGCATGAGCCGACCCGCGGAGCACCGACGCCCCTGCCCTTGATCGTTGTGCGCATCTAACCTACGTCTCGCCGCGTCTTCCGAGCTCGACCGCGTACCGCGCTGGTGGTCATATCCAGATGCGGGAGGAGGAGGTGGCGGCGTTTGGAGCAGGTGGGGCGACGGCGGCGGCGGAGAGAGCGGCTTTGACGGACGGAGAGAGCGAGGGTCAGCAGGAGGGCCCGCCCAATTAAATGAAGCGAGACCAAATCGAGTACTACACACGCACGAGTCCACGTGGCTCCACACGATTGGTGAACAGTAACCTGATCGCTCTCAACGCGCCGATTCTAGGAGCTTTATGGAGTTGTATATATGAGGGGGCTAGGTTTGTCTTTATATATAAGATTTTTTGTCTTTATATATACGAGAAATGATAGAAGAAGATTAGTGGGATAATAGGCTAGACAGCTAATCGTGCCATGCCATCTTTGCCTTATGGGCTAGGGGAGTGGCCTAAGTATGGGACCTGGCATGGGCTGCACCATTAGTAACAAGCTGTGCGCCCGTGTCATGTTTGGGCTAGGCCAAAATCATGGGACATGTGACAGTCCATCTTGAGTCCATGGGCCTTGTGCCTTCTGTCCATCTATACATGGCACATTTGGTGATCCATACAAATTCGTATTTGAGTATCCAAGAATTAAAAGAGTGCCGAACTATCATAAAGTGAGGGATATAAGAGAACAAAACTCACGTTAATTGCTAGATTCTGTATGATGCCGTACGACCATCGTGAGCCTCCCGAACCAAATCCTTTAATTTATCTGGTATGAAGACTACAATCCGCCTCATCTCCTTGGCCTCCTCCGGTACTACATTGTTGGACGAAGATGTGAATGCAACATTGATGAGGAGAACCCCAAACCGGAACTCAAGAACATGTCGTTTTTGGTCAGTGCCATGGGCCTTGCCGAGATGGGCATCACGCTCAAAGCTAACAAGACGATGCAGCTCATTGACATGCATCTCAACCATAAAGGGGCCGTCTTCACCAAGCTCTCCTTGGCGCCGCTGTCCCTGGACCATGATCGTGCAAGCTACCTCGTCAACATGGCGGCTCTCGAGTTGTGCACGGTTGAAAGCTTTGGAGCTGCGACAGATGAGGTCTCTGCTGTCTGCTCCTACCTACTGCTACTGGCCAATTTGGTATACAGGGAGGAGGACGTGCAGGAGCTACGGGAGAGGGGTCTCCTGCAGATAGGAGGAGGGCTCACCAACTCGGAGGCGCTCGCCTTCTTCACGAGCGTCCGTGGTCTGCGCTTCGGACCATGCTATCACCGCATCATGGAACAGATCAAGACTTACAGGGACAATAGCTTGATGAAGACCAAGCTGCACGCGTTTCTCCACAACCACAAGAAAACCTTAGCGGCGGTTGTCACCGGCATTGGTGCTGTTGGCGGGATCATAGGGACACTCCTGTCAATCAAAAAGTCCATTTGATTTGATATGTACCCTTGACATGAGATGTTGTATCTATGCTTTGATTCTCAATTTCCTATTTTATCTGTATATGCATGATTCCCCTGTGTATATACTCAAATTGAAGATGGTGCATGTGTGTTTTTTTATTAAGGATGCATTTTATTGGGCTCAAGATAATAATATTGAGTAAAATACAACCACGTCACAGCCTATAAAAGTTTTTTTTGGTAAAGGTACAAAGATACACTATATTGACCGCCATCAAAATCCATAGACTTACCATCATCCAGGTGAATGGGTAAAAAGTTCCAGTGACCACCATCAAAATCCACCAGTTTAGTCCCTAAAGATTTATGACATCAGGGATTGGTTACACGTTGTCACTAGGCTAAGGTGAGTCCCAATACTAGAAACTATAGGGTAGTTTGCATACTTGTCAAATCATGTAAATACTACACATAGAAACTATATTCTCAATGTATTGTTTTTCTTTTAAAATACATTTTTATCTAACATATGTTTTTCATTCTCCATCATCTACCATATCACGTCTCTTTATATCTTGGTTCCGTATAGACATAGTTTCTTATATAAGAAACCATTTCCTTCTTATTCTTCTTTAATACCAATACCAATTCATCACTTTGCTTAGTTGACACCATAATTAACGAACATAAAAATTAGATGGTTTCTGGGCTGAGTGCCCTAATAAATTTATCACTACACATTACAGACTGCACTGCAGCGTGTTGTCTGCCAGTCATTTGCATTTTTTTTATTTCAGGCCACTACTACATAAAAGTTTATTAGGCGGGCGATTTGGTTTCCAGCGGCTCCTTGCAGACCTACAAACCCACGGTAAATCGTGGCTTAACTGCTGGCGGGCGGCTTTTTGCCCATTGATTATAATTTTTTATTACATGCTGGCGCGTGTAACGCATGCATATATTTTTACCACGGCGGACACGTTACACGCCCGCCGCGATAAATAGTGTTAACCATGGCGGGGCACCTTTGTGGCCCGCCGTGGTTATGTTGATTTGCCGTATGGGCTTTATTATTTGCCCGCCTCGGTAAATTATTTCTGAATTAAAAAATAAAGCAGGCATATATATAAATTCAAATAAAATACATCAAGCATATAAATTCAAATTCAAATTCAAATCACATCCAGATTTCACAGATTAAACTTAAAAAGTATGCGAGACATTACACATGAAATAATATACATGTATATATATATATATACATTCACTTAGTCGTTCTTGTCATCGTTAATTCATTACATTTACATATTAAAGTCAGTTATACATGCGCTAAAAGTGTAATCTGCATGGATCATCGTGGGCCATTTCCTCGGCCTCTATACTCAGAACATCGCTATATTCTCATGGAAGAACGCCCCCTTTCAAGCACGCATTTGTCTAAGACAAACTTACATATGTCCGCCTTTATGCGCTTGAAGTTGCTCGCATGTCTCTCGACCATTCAATCCATTCTTGAGCACCTTCCAATTGTCTTTTGTCTTTGCTTGCACACCTCGTGATCTCACAGCGTAGAAGCCATTTTGTGATCCTACCGGTTGTTTGGCACACTGCATGATCGATCGCAAGCATTACAACACGAGCATTAGAACGCATATGAACGGAAAGCACAATTAAACCTTTCAAATACTTACCGGAAAGTTGCGTCTGATTTTGATGCGGTTCTTATGCTTAGCCTTAAAATTCTCTGTTCTTCGATCATAGCATTCAGGATCCTTCACGTACTCTAAAGGCTCTTCCTGCCACGTGCATGACCCACTCCCTGCACTTGTTCAGATCGGCGTCCTCGGGATAATGGAAGCTCCTCGTCACCTCACCCCGGATATGTGTCTTGTAGTCGATCGGGACATTGTTCCACTCCTCCCAAGTGATCTCCACCTTGTCTTGACTATACATGCCACCGGTTGCTGAACTTGGCAAGGACCGTGGGTGGCGACAACGGGTTTCCCTCTGGTCCCACCTCATGGATCACATGGACTTCGCCGTGGATTTCCCTCCGGTGCCTCCGTGTTCCCCCTTCTCGGCTTTTGTCCTCCTCACCCCTAGACTTGCTCAAGTGGTTGGAGATGGAGCGGGGGGTTCTTTGTCCCCGACTTGTTCCTCCTCGAAATTCAATTCTCGAGGCACCACCGGCATCTGTTCAGGGTTTGGAGACCGCGCACTTTCAACTTCGTCGTCCCTCGGTTGGTAGGTCGGATCATCTTCGTCCTCTGTACGACGTTTCTTTGTTGGCCTCGGGGTCACGGACACGTGGCTCTCGAGGCTAGTTGATGATGATGCACTAGGGGTAGGGTCGCGCCATTAAACTTATCGGTTCCTCCGCCATTGAAAAGCTACAATGAATACATATTTCAGTTGTATAGACACAGTTATAGAGTAGTAAAGTAGAGTAGTATTAGAGTAGTAAAGTAGAGTAGTACTAGAGTAGTAAAGTAGTAGTAGTTGGCTCAGATTTGCCCCATAGTCATCACATCGCTTTTAAAGCTGGTTGCTTGTATCTGGTATACAAGCCATCCTAGTTTAGCGGGGCACTCGATCATCATCGCCACTGCCTGGGGTTCACATCATTGCATATGCCAACGCCTCAGCTTAGAAGTGTGAAAAGAATCATCATTGCAAATACCAAACAAAAGCCATCAAGATAGTTTCAAAATTTGGCCCCAAAGGGCTAAGTCCTTCGGCCATCAAGATAGAGTAGAAGACTAGAGGAGGTGAGAGTAGAGTAGAGTAGAGTAAGAGGAGTAGAGTAAGAGCTGCAGAGGAGGATAGTAGAGGAGTAGGCGGAGAGGGAGGAGGGAGTAGAGGAGTAGGCGGTGAGATCGAGGAGGAGGGAGTAGAGGAGGAGGGAGTAGTAGTAGGCGTAGTAGTAGTATATACAACAGTGTAGTATAGCAGTAGTATAGGAGTAGTATAGGAGGACAGAGTAGCAGACATAGATAGAAATAGATTAAGTAGAGAAATAGGTAGCACCACCACCAAAATAATATCAAATTTGGCAAAATTGCAGCAGAGTGGCCAATTCATCTCAAAATTCTCACAACTTTAGCATGTGATCGGTTTAAAGGCAAGGTGCATCATAGGCGGTGCCATATGCTCAAATTTTGTCACAAATTTCTTTGGCATCATAGGCAAAAAAAGAATTGAATTCAAATGCTACGGTTCAGCAAAAAAGCATCATAGATCAATAGTATAGCAGTTCAAAATTCACCAAGTGTAGTTTATCCCATACAATTTTCAGCCGTCCATTCCAAAAGGAGTTTACTATACCCCTTGTTCACAAAGAAAGGTCATCTCAAAATTAAGTATAGGAATAGATTAAGTAGAGAAAGTAGTAGGCGTGAGTAATAGTATACTACTAGAAATTGCAAAGAGAGTGACCAATTCATCTCAAATTTCTCACAAATAGGTTGTTGGAGACAATGCTTTGTTGATTCGATGTTGTTGGAGACAACCTCAGTATAAATAGGTCACAAATTCCAGCCTAAATATGGAAACAAATCAACCGTGTTGGAGATAAGCCTATAAAGGGATTGTTAAAAAAGACACCCGTGTTTCATGGCTAAATATGGGCGATATTGAAAATTCCTATCCACGAATTACGTGACTACATATTCAAAGTTGCTTGGCATAATGAGCATATAATTTATAACTAAGCCTGGAAACAGCTCTAAGAGCTCTATGAAACAGACCCTAACTGAAAAACCCTTTAAACACTAAGTTAACGGAAGAATTAGAAGACTCCTCATCATACACGAAGGAAAGACAGGTTTTGCATTTTCACAATGAGATGAACAACGTAGTGGAACCTAGAGAAAGCTAGGATAGCCCAAATGTGAATCTCTAATTACATTTCAGATGGGGAAAATATAGCAGTTACTACAAGAATAAAATTTGAGCTTTGGAGACAGCATTGTAATTACAGAACCAAGGTACTACGTGTTCTTACCTCGGCCTAGTTCTTACCTAGGCACAGGCGCAGGAGTTCCAAGTGAGGAGGTAGCGGCTAGAGCCCGTCTGTGCTCGAGAACGGGCCCGGCGTGTGGGCGGTGACCGGGAGGAGGACGGGACGGTGACCGGGGAGGAGGACGGGACGGTGACCGGGGAGGAGGACGGGCCCAGCGTGTGGGCGGTGATCGTGGAGGAGCTCGGTGGCAAAGGGTTCGGGGGGACAGGAGCTCAATGGAGCAAGGGTTCCAGGAGAGGAGGACATGGGCACGGGGAGGAGGACGGGGCGGGGCGCGTCAAGTGGCCGGCGCTAGGGTTCGAGGGGGACGGGCCCAGCCGAGGAGCTCGCTCGCCTGGAGCAAGGGTTCCGGGAGAGGAGGACGGGCCCAGCAGAGGAGGAGCTTCAAGGCGCGATACTTCTCAATGGTCGGCGCTAGGGTTCTGGTGACGACGGGCGGAGGAGCACGGGGCGGGCGCGGAGCAGGGAGAGGAGGACGGGGCGCGGACCGGCACGGGAGGAGAACGGGGCGGGGGTCGGTCAAGAGGAGCTCAATCGGCAATGATTTTTTGGCAGCCCTTGAAGTTAAAAAGGAACCGCGAAAGACTGAGAATGTTGAGGGTGGGGACGGCTTATATAGGTTATGATTAACCACGGCGGCAACGTAATGTCCGCCCTGTGGAAATGTTTACAAAGTGTTAAGTTGCCCGCCGCTGGTAATCTATTAACATGGCGGGCTCATTATATGCCCGCCATGATAAAGAAGTTCGTTCTCATGAAGATGAAACTAGTCTATACTAACATAATTCATTAGCTAATTCATTAGCTATATTCATTAGTCTATACTAACATAATGCATTAGAATTCAAAATCGAATACAAATATAAAAATAAATATAATATCAATGATATCGCTCCATATCTTATATTTGCATCCCTAACAAGTAATAGGGACATTCGCACCAACACTCAACAACCACCTATCTATAAGCTACCGAGTGATAAAAAGAACCCTTGGCTTTTTATTACATA